TTAGAGCCATAATAAATGGTAATTATTCACATTTGGAGTATTTTCTTTCAAGGGGGCATTAGGTATCAGTTATTTGGATTTTACATGTAATTAAAAATATATTTTATATACAGTGTTCTATCACATTTACAGACATACACTCTTTATACACAAACTCTTTATAGACATACACTGCAGAACAGAAAGTACATATGCCTTCTTCCACCTAAACAATTCCCATTGTCAGACATACATGTAGTTTCCCACATCCACTCCTACAAATAACGCTGTGATTAAAATCTTCATGCTAAAGCTCCATCCGCATTGAATTCTCAGGATCAATTTCCAGAATTAGAATTACTAAGTCAATGGCCAACAATCCTTGTGTTCTAATTGCTTTCTAAAAGGATTATAGCAATGCTCACAAGCAAAAAGCAGTTGAGAAGAGCATTTGCTCACCTCACCCTTACTACCTCTGCCTCCATCCCTCTGGAAATCTGTGAAAATGTGATCACAAAGAGAACAATTTTCTGGTTTTGATTTATATTTCCTTGATTACTAGTGTGGTTGAATTTTTCCAAATATTTCTTAAGTGATTTGCAAATTGTTCTTTTCTTTTCCCATTTTTGAAGTCTTAATGTTTTTCCTAGAGATCTGTATGAGTTCCTTACTTATATGAAAAATGTTAACCTTGCTGAGTGCCACCTCAACCAAATGGGCAGGGACAAACAAGGCAGAAATGACTGTAAGAGAAGGACAATATTATAGGTCAATGACGAACCTACTGCGTTCTCGGTAGAACTGGGTCCCCTGATTTCTTCAATTCTCTGAGGCTGTACAGCATCCAGAAAGTAAGAAAACAAGAAGACAACCAAGTCACTAACATGTTTTGAATACTAAATGTGACTCTTCAATGTTTTATGCATCAAATATTTATTGAGCAACTATTCCATGTCAGGCTTTGTCCTAAATGCCAGGGATACTACAATGAAGAAAAGAGACAGGGTCTCCAGTTTCATGGAGCTTATTTATTGAATGTTTCCTAAATGTCAAGTGTATTTCCAGAGGCCTTCTCATCTCTGGCCTCAGAACTCTAGGTGGTAAATATAATTATTTCTGTTTTTCAAATAAGAATGCTAAATCTCAGATAGGTTGGTGTATTTGACCAGCAGTGGACAGTAACAGTTCAGTGTTAGAGTAAGGCTGTGAACCCAGGCACACAGGATCCAATGCCCATGTTGTTTTCACAGTCCTAATAAATAAGATAAAACCTGGGGCGCCTGAGTGTCTCAGGCGTTAAGCATCTGCCTTCAGCTCAGGTCATGATCCCAGGGTCCTGGGATTGAGCCCCACATCGGGCTCCCTGCTCTGCAGGAAGCCTGCTTCTCCCTCTCCCACTCCCTCTGCTTGTGTTTCCTCTTTCGCTGTGTCTCTCTCTGTGAAATAAATAAATAAAATCTTTAAAAAAAAAATAAGATAAAACCCCAAGTATAGGCAGTCCTTGCACTGTTGTAAAAATGATGTGTAGGCTGAAACTGTGCAAAATGATATTAATAATCAGTGGGGGAAATTAAATTGGTCCATGACCTTTAGAAATTTTTGTCAAAATACTGAAAACACTCTCACTGTCAGTTACGAATGTATAGGGAAATGAAAAAATAGTAAAACAAATATTTATTTAGCACACTGTAATTTAGCTGATTAGAAATATTGAGAATTAAAGTATTTTATTTCTTTGTAAAAATTTATCTAGGATAATTAGAGTAGTGCCTGCCTTCTTGTCATATAACTTAAAACACAGAGCAAGTACCTTTTCCATGCCTTGGTAAATTGTCAGTCTCCTTTCCAAAATTTGGGTCAGTTTCACCATGTTATACTTTGCACTTTCAATGCCGTGAAATGTGATTTTTTTTTTTTGCTGGCATCATGTCCTCTGAGACATCTTCATTGTTTTGTAATTTTCCTCATTTATGGTGATAAGTTCACCTTCACTAAGTTCCTTTGGTTGCTTATCTTGAATCTTTAAAATGGCTCCAAGGTCAACCTTCCCAGGCTCCCAGTTATATTTCCTAAACTTTCTAAACATTCAATTTGAATTTTACTTCCTACGTTATCACTTTTCCTTTCTTTTTTCTCTTCCATTTTTGTTGGCCAATTCATTCCCCTGATTATCCTGTAAATTGTCACATGGGTTATCACTGAAGACAAGGAGGCAACACAACTACACATTTTGCTGTCTGTGGGTAACATGAATAACAGATGCACAGTGACCAATCACTGAATTTGAAAGAAGTGACATGATTGGTAAATAACTAATGATAATGCACATATTTAAGAAGTGATTTGTATACTGACCAATTAGCAAGTAAGTTCATACTCTGTGCCAGTACTCACAGTTCCTATGCCATGGTAACTGAAATTTTAACTGTGTTGTTGGAGGGGGCTGCTTTTATTTTACTAAACTAACTGAACTGTAGTGACTGAAATTAACACATACTGGAATCGTGCAAAATGAGGATCACCTGTATTATCTTTGGGCTTCTTGGAATTGGGTCTTGCATAAATATACCAGTGAAATGATAGCATATTTTTAAAAAGGCAACATTGATTCTATCTCGCCAGGTTGTCCCTCTCCAACAACGGATGTAAAATAGTAGGGCGTGGCCACAGAGAGCACTATCGTTTAATCATTCAGTTGAAAACCCAGTCCACATACCTTCTTTCCTCACTCCAATGGACCTGCTTTTCTAGGATAATTCCATCTAGTTCACAAAGCATAGTGAAGATATTTCCTGTCTTCATGAAAAACACTTCCATCCTCTCCCTGCCCCAGGGAGGAAATGGAAAGAGAATGCTCATCCATCACAACAGGATGTGGAGCTGTGTACCTGGGTCCACCCCCATGTCTCAGATTTAATGTGCAGTTGTAACCCAGGCACAGATCTAAGCAATATGCCATATGTGCAGACCCCAAGAGAAATGAGAACAAGCCTGAAGGAAGTCAGGCAGGGCAGCTAGCCCCAAAGATACTGAATATTCTTTGCCACAACAGTCCATTTCCTTTGTAGCCTGGTTTTCATGGGACTCTATATATGTCAGTGTGAGGCAAGGGGAAGACAGTGGTTGAGGGGCAGAGGAGTCTGCCTTTGTCTCATCCGGGTGCAGATGTAATTGTTAAAGTAAGAAGAGGGACACCAGGAGATGGAGGTGCATGAAAAGGGAAGTGTTAGAGCTGCCAGGATCAGAGTTTATCCTAAGACCATTGCAGTTGGACAAAAGTGTGTAGTAAGAGGAAAGTGTCTTCGTTGGGGTTTCCCAGAGGCTGATCCTGAATACAGGTAGTTAATTTGTGTGGTAATGTCAAGAGGATCAGGAGAGTGGGAAAATGAACCATGGAAAGCAAGGAAACAATACAGAATATGCCAATGAGCAGGTAGCTAATGTGAGGAGTCAGGACTCAGTTGTCCTGGGACTTATATGGGGCGATAGAAAACGCCTCAGAGTCATCTCACCCAAGGAACAAGAAAGCTGTTGAGGACAGTTCAACCTCCCGGTTGAGGGCTACCTGCTATCTTGTAACTTCTCGGCATTTAGGGTCTGCCTTGCACGCAGCAGAGCACACCCTTAGAGGCCAGAGGAAGCCTGGAGGTAGACAGTCACAAATTCTTACAGTATAAAACCATCTGGAGTTTACAAAATGGTGACTACCAACAGATACAGGTAAGTCATCAACAGTGTCTGCTATTAGGTTATAATTATGGTCTAGGTGTTGTTCTAAGCACTTTGCATGTATTAACTCATTCATACATGTAAGCCTACAGCAAGACAACAAGGTAGGTACTATTATCATCTTTTTATACATTAGGCACAGAGAGGTTAAGTAACTGGCCCAAGCTCACCGGCTAGCAAGTGGCAGAGGAAAAAATTACAGACCATATGGTAAGGCTCCATGTAACCTCTATATCATACTACCAACACCCACTGCGATGCATGCTTGAACTTCTCTACTTACTGTATGGCTATGGAACAGCTTCATTTTTAAACAGGATAACTGAAGAACATTTAGGGGGGAGCAAGACACTTTACATGAGCAGGGTCCCCAACATAATAAAGTACCAGCTAACTCCTGAGAGGATACCTGACCTTCCATGTAGGAAAGAAACACTCTTCTCTTATTTAAGCCACTGTGTTTGGGAATCTTGTCATTACAATGGCCCAACCCATATCCTAATTAACACACACAATAATGTTGGAGCTTTAGTTATAGCTCCCAGACACCAAACACAAAAGAAGATATGTGGAACCAGCCCTGCCACAACACTAAGACCTTATATAGGAGGTGCTGAGTTAACATCTGTATACCTACATTCCTGCCCCAGTCGTGCGTGTTTCTTCTCTTGCTTTGACTAAAAGAAGGGCTTAGCCTCTTCTAGAATTTCCTTTCCTTGTACAGGGAGCTGGTACGAGAGACAACATGACTGAGTCCTCTTTGGCTCCTCCACGAGTCCCTGCTTGATTTTGAGTCTGCCTCACCAAACCAGTCCTGAGGTCTCAGGGCCCAGAGCTGTCAGCAAACCTCCCACTCCCTGTTTGTGTTGGCTTGTGTCACTGTGACACGCTGGAGGTGTTGACTAAAGCTGTTTACTGGCTTAATTTAAAAACACCTCGAGGTGTTCTGAAAATTCTGCTTTGAGCAGCAATATGGAATGAGGCAAGAAAATAATGGAGATAAAGAGAATATAACAAAATTGTGTTGAAATCACATGGAAGAGCATGAAGGAACTTTTGAAAAAGTGATAATGCTATTTAAACCCAATCTCTCTCCCTCGCACACACACGTGCATGTGTACACATATACAAAAACACACATATAGGCCGGCCGGGCCGCTGTCAACTCTCCTCAGAGTCAGGCCGAGATGCTGTGTATGCTGAGCCTCTGCGACCGCAGGTTGCTGCACGTCCTGGGCCTTAGCTTCCCGCTGCTGACCCGCCGGCCACTTTTCCTCTGACCTCACTGCCTCATGAAACCGCCGGTTGTGTTCATCCTCGGCGGTCCCGGCGCTGGCAAGGGGACCCAGTGCACCCACATCATCGAGAACCACGTCACCCAAATTAAGAAAGAAGGAAGGATGATTTCTAAGAAGTGAAAGAAGTCCATCAAGATGATTGGAGATTTGATACCATAAAATTGTCAACATTCACCTAAGAGAGACACAGCGAGAGAGAAAATACAAGCAGGGGGAGTGGGAGAGGGAGAAGCAGGCTTCCCGCTAAGCGGGGAGCCCGATGCGGGGCTCAATCCCAGGATCCTGGGACCATGACCTGAGCCGAAGGCAGATGCTTGACAACTGAGCCACCCAGATGAGACCTCTAGTTGCAACTAGAGAAGGAGATGGACTTTTAAGAATGAAATATGGTTACACACACCTTTCTGCAGGAGAACTTCTTTGTGATGAAAGGAAGGACCCATATTCACGGTATGGTGAACTCATTGAAAAGTACATTAAAGATGGAAAGATTGTGCCAGTTGAGATAACCATCAGTTTGTTAAAGAGGGAAATGGGGCGCCTGGGTGGCTCAGATGGTTAAGCGTCTGCCTTCGGCTTGGGTCATGATCCCAGGGTCCTGGGATCAAGTCCCACATCGGGCTCCCTGCTCCTTGGGAGCCTGCTTCTCCCTCTGCCTCTCTCTCTCTCTCTGTCTCTCATGAATAAATAAATAAAATCTTTTAAAAAAAAAAAAAGAAGGAAATGGATCCGACAATGGCTGCCAATGCTAAGAAGAATAAATTCTTGATTGATGGGTTTCCAAGAAATCAAGACAACCTTCAAGGTTGGAACAAGACCATGGATGGGAAGGCAGATGTGTCTTTCATTCTGTTTTTTGACTGTAATAATGAGATCTGTATTGAACGATGCCTTGAGAGGGGAAAGAGTAGTGGTAGAAGTGATGACAACAGAGAGAGCTTGGAGAAGAGAATTCAGACCTATCTTCGGTCAACAAAGCCAATTATTGACTTATATGAAGAAATGGGGAAAGTCTAGAAAATAGATGCCTCTAAGTCTGTTGACGAAGTTTTTGATGAAGTTGTGAAGATTTTTGACAAAGAAGGCTAACTCTAAACCTGAAATCTTCCTCAAAATCATGCCTGAATAGTGCTTTGATAGCTGCTATTACAACCCCTTTTTAAGGCAATTTTAATCTTTCATAATTACATCTCAGTTAATGGCTGGAAAGTATGTAGTAAGACAAATTAAATTTTTTATCTTAGATTTTTTTGGTTATAGGAGTAGACGGTGAATTCAGGTCTAACTTCATCTTAGCTATGGTGCTCACAAAACAAAGAAGGATATCAGCTTAGTTCTTTGTTTTTACTCAAAAAGTATATCCCTTTTATAGTTTGTGACTTCTGTGAGCAAAACTTTTTAGTATGTCTGTATATCCATTTAATAATTACAACATGCTACAATTAGGGATTCCCCACTTTATTGTTTTCTTGCAGGTTTTAAATTTCCAACCTATTAAGTGAATTTGTGGACCAAATTCCAAAGGAACTTATTGTGTAGTCAGTTCTTGCAAAATGTGTTTGGTAAACGAACTCATAAAATGAATTCCTATAAGTGTTTTAGTATTTATCAAATAGTTGACCATTTCCTATAGAAAGATAAGAAAACTTAGGCTTTGTTTTATTACAACTTATATAAAGTTGTGTGACAGGGCATCTTCTTTGCTTCCAGGGATTGGGATGGGGGTCACTGGGGGTTCAGAGCCTGGCAGAACTGTCAGTTTTATTCTGACATAAATCTAAGGGTAAGGGGCAGGGACCGCATCTAATGACCTGTGTTCCTGTCCTCTATTATGTAGTGTTCTTAGTGATTAAACTGGTCTTAACAGAATTCTTAGCAGTGGAACCTTGAAATGCATGTATGAGGTTTATGGTCAATGATTTGGTTAGCGTTTTAGTAACACTTCATTCAAAGTGTTTTTGTTTGTTTTCTAGATTAAATGTAGGGTTGGTATGAAGTAAAAACATCTAATGGTTAATTTCCCATTTGTGTTTTATTTTCTTGAATACTTTTTTTAGTTATTTGTTTAAGGAAATTTAAAAATCATTGCACTTAGGTGAGAAAAATAATAAATATATCTAATAAATGAAAAAAACCAAAAACAAACAAAAACACACATATATGTATATGTACACAGATATATAATTTCAGGAGATCTTATCATTTTTATGGAGCTCAGTTATCCATACCACACACCATGTCTCAGGCTATGTGCAACTCCATAACATATTCTTCTAGGTTAAGAAAACAACTAAAAAACAGACTAAAAATATTAGTTTGATGTGCTTGAAAAATAATAGCACCTAAAATTAGATTCCTGTTGCAAAAGCCACCACATAAGACTCCCTGCTGACTTTTGTAGGGTCCAGGACCATCTGAGAGTGAGATGTGGGCAGAACCAGACCATACAAAGTGAAGGGCTAAAACTCTGCTGACGGAGAATCACCACCTGCCCAAGTTAGAAAACCATCTGTCCAATCTCCAGGAAACAAGCTCAAAGAGAAGATCATGCACTAGCCAGCAGCAGAATCAGGGCCCAGATCTCCTCTCTTCAACATTCCACAATACTTTCTGGTCTCCCTATTCTACCGCTCTTACTTTATGATGGTGTACTGCAACACCACATGAGAAGGAAAGTCCTGAGACACAATCCCTCTCTCCCCACCACCTTGTATTTCCTCGTCATGCTGCCCTGCCACCTGCCTTACCCAACTCTGACCCACAGGGCCTGGCCACCTGTCTTGGTCCTTGCAGGTTGGGATCAGTAAGAAGAGGAAGTTAAAAGGGAAGTCAGGAGAGGAGTGGGGCGTGCTCTTTGCAAGTGAGGAGGCTAAAGTAACAATATCAGGAGCGGTGCAGCACTGTTGCCCTCCCGCAGCCCAAGAACAAATCCAGGCATCCACGTCTCTGCCTCCCTCCCATGTGCTGACACAGAGACTCTTTTTCTCGGATTGAAGCTTTCAGCACTAAAACCCACCATCTATGTCCTCTTTTTCCCACAAGTTGAAAGAATTTAGGAAGTGTTCCTAAGAGTCACCTGAATGGAGGCTTATGACCCAAGCTTTCTGGGTTTTGCTCTTTCTCTAGAGTGACTCTGGAGGAGAGGAGCTTGCTGGAACCAAGGCACAAACATTCTCCAGCCCCTAGGTAGGCACAAATTATCTTATCAGAGTGACCCACACAATGCCAATATTGATGGGACAGTTCTTTCTTTCTACTTGGAAAAGAAGGAACTTGCCCCTGATACGCTAGAAAGGGAGAGGGCAGGAGAGTGGCCAGTCCAAGGTATATGTTCATAGCAGTAATGGCATCCAACCCTCACCCCAGCAGCATTTCTCAATGTAATATTTAATCATTGCTTTAAAAGTTACTACAATTCCGGGAGCAAGATGGCGGAGGAGTGGGAGACCTGGATTTCATCTGGTCCCAGGAATTCAGCTGGACAGGGATCAAACCATTCTGAACACTTACGAGCTCAACAGGAGATCGAAGAAAGGAATAGCAACAACTCTCTGAACAGAAAAGAGACCACTTTCTGGAAGGTAGGACGTGTGGAGAAGTGAATCTGAGGTGATATTCGGGAGGATAGACGGCG